GTGCTAGGTGCGTCAGGTGCGCCCAGCGCGCCAGGTGCACCAGGTGCGTGCCAGGTGCTCCCAGCGCGCCAGGTGTGCCAGGTGCGCCCAGCGCGTCAGGTGCGCGCCACGTGCGCGCCAGGTGCGCGCCAGGCGCGCGCCAGGTGCGCCAGTTGCGCCAGGTGTGCGCCACGTGTGCGCCAAGTGCACGCCAGGTGCGCCAGGTGCGCCAGTTGCCCCATGTGTGCCAGGTGCGCCAGTTGCGCCAGGCGCGCCAAGTGAGCCAGGTGCGCCATGTGCGCCAGGTGCGACAGGTGCGCCAGGTGCGCCAGGTGCGCCAGGTGCGACAGGCGCGCCAGGTGCGCCAGGTTTGCGCTTGGTGTGGCAGGTGCGCCCAGCACGCCAGGTGCGCCAGGTGCGCCAGACGCACCAGGTGTGCCAGGTGTGCGCCAGGTGCGCGCCAGGTGCGCCAGGTGCGCCAGTTGCACCAGGCGCGCCAGGCGGGCCAGGTGCGCCAGGCGCGCCTTGTGCGCCAGGTGCGCCAGGTGCGCCCAGCGCGCCAGGTGCGACAGGTGCGCGCCAGGTGCGCGCCAGGTGCGCGCCAGGTGCGCGCCAAGTGCGCCTGGTGCGCCAGGTGCGACAGATGCGACAGGTGCGCCAGGTGCGCCAGGTGCGTCAAGTGCGCCAGGTGCGCGCCAGGTGCGCCCAGCGCGTCAGGTGCGCCAGGTGCGCCCAGCGCGCCAGGTGCGCCAGGCGCGCCAGGTGCGCGCCAGGTGCGCCAAGGGGACAGGGAGGCTTCAAAGTGGCTTGTACCTCCGCTGGGCCCCCCGGGAACCCACGAAAGTGGCGACAGTTGCGCAGATCGCAGCCCCGCAGGGGACAGGGAGGCCTCAAAGTGGCCTGCGTATGACGTACCTCCGCTGGGCCTCCCAGGAACCCACGGAAGTGGCGACGGTTGCGCAGATCGCAGCCCCGCAGGGGACAGGGAGGCATCAAAGTGATCTGCGTATGACGCACCTCCGCTGGACCTCCCAGGAACCCACGAAAGTGGCGACAGTTGCGCAGATCGCAGCCCCGCAGGGGACAGGGAGGCATCAAAGTGGCCTGCGTATGACGTGCCTCCGCTTGGCTTCCCAGGAACCCACGAAAGTGGCGACAGGTGCGCAGATCGCAGCCCCGCAGGGGACAGGGAGGCTTCAAAGTGATGTCCGTATGACGTACCTCCGCTGGGCCTCCGAGGAACCCACGAAAGTGGCGACGGTTGCGCAGATCGCAGCCCCGCAGGGGACAGGGAGGCCTCAAAGTGATTTGCGTATGACGTACCTCCGCTGGGCCTCACAGGAACCCACGGAAGTGGCGACAGTTGCGCAGATCGCAGCCCCGCAGGGGACAGGGAGGCATCAAAATGGCCTTCGTATGACGCGCTTCCGCTGGACCTCCCAGGAACCCACGAAAGTGGACAGGGAGGCCTCAAAGTGATCTGCGTATGACGTACCTCCGCTGGGCCCCCCGGGAACCCACGAAAGTGGCGACAGTTGCGCAGATCGCAGCCCCGCAAGGGACAGGGAGACCTCAAAGTGATCTGCGTATGACGTACCTCCGCTGGGCCTCCCAGGAACCCACGAAAGTGGCGACAGTTGCGCAGATCGCAGCCCCGCAGGGGACAGCCAGGAGCCCACGAAAGTGGCGACAGTTGCGCAGATCGCAGCCCCGCAGGGCACCGCGAACACAGGAGAGAAGGAGGAGGAGGAGGAGGAGCGGGCGGGAAGTGGATACCACAGTTCTCTTTTCAAAACGGGTACCCAACACAAGGAGGGTTTGGAAAAGGGAAGCATCCCACCATTCCGTGTTTTTTTCAAGTTCGCCCCCATGTCTGCTCTTGCACAACAGACCCCAATGAAGGCCCCAGACAAGAACCCAGGAAGCCTTCGAGGGCTCCGAATCGCTGACCACTTAACGTCCCGCAGTTCCCTTCTATACGAGTCCGAGGCTTGTACAGGGCCTCCAAGAGAGTTACATAATGCAAAAAAGGCAACGATGCTATTCCATGTGTTAGTCCATCAAGCCTAGCTAGGACTTGAGCGCGCGCAAAGTACGCGCGATGGTTCTAGTACATATATACATATATAAATATGTATAACTAAGTATTGCAGAAGCGAGCCAAGGTCAGCACACACACAAGAGGGAATGGTTTGACAATCGTATCGCCGAGTAGTTTGCAACAATCAAGTGGACAAGCACATTACAAAACACACATTATGTAATTGCGAGCCAGAGTGCACGGCAGCACATGGCCGCGGCACAATATCATTATGAGAGGGCATGTTTGTATGTATGGCTGCAGCCTCTGACTGCTATAGACGAATGTGTTCATAATACATACGGGGTGTCACATCATCCGGACATCTTCGACCATATCATGCCATAGCGACAACGGGCACATTGTAGAGTATAAAATCTAGTTTGACGTAGCACAACATGGCAGGACATAGTGTCACCCATGAAAATGAGAGAAGCCTGGCAAATCAGCAAGTAAGAACGATGAGTCAAACAGTTCAGAATCGGAAATGGCTGAACGTAGCAGACAACAGCACGCATCAACGGCCGATCAACGGCGTCATATCAAACGCGACATGTGCACCGATGTCAGACTGGCCACATGAACATCGAATTGCAGCAACGACGGATTGGACGACGTATCAAACGTGCCTGGCGTCACGACGTAACGCCAGCCCGTCCAGAACATAACATAACATAATAGAGTATAATGGCACAGAACTTGAGTGAATATCGCATCGCTGAAGACTGCTGAGTACACCTACGACCGATGAACGGCGCCCTATCAAACGCCACTTGCGAGCCGACGTCAGGCTGGCCACAGTAATCCGCCATATATGAATATAGCTAAACTGAACCGGACAGAACGCGATAGAGAAGTTTGTATGCAGCAGCGCTTGAACAACGGCTCCTCATCAAACGCGACATGCGCGCCGAGCTCAGACTGGTCACGGCAGCGAGCAGTACCAACTTCGAGAACACACGCCGTAGGTTTCGGTGGGGATCGCCCGCAGCAAAATATCGGGTGGCCCTCGGCGGCAGCTGGCCGAAGTATTAGCTGGCTGCGGGTCCGCTGGCGGAATCTTGCGGAGGGTGGATGGATGGCAGCGACACGAATAGGGGAACGAATAATGACATACACCTAATAATTAGGAGGTCCGCGCGGACCTGAGTTTTTTTTATCATGTTTATGTAATTCTCCGTTCCTCTGAGTAAAGGTGAGCCGCCGTCTTTTCTGGGTTCAGGCTTTCCGGAAGCGGCCACGGTGAATGGCCGAACTGGGCGATATAGCTCGGTACGCATGTGGCCACATGGCTTTTGCCCGTGCTCGGCCCTGGCGTGGCTAGACACGCTGGCCCTCCGCGTGTGCCTCCGGCGCGTGGCCTCAATATGTCCCATGGGGGAATCCGTCCGCGCGTCAGGGTGTCCAGCTTCCTGGTGCAGTCCAGATCACCATTTCGGGCGAGTTGCCTCACCCTGGCGACCCCTGCATCCCAGGGCATCTGGCCTCGCATCCCAGGGGTCTGGGGCCCGAGGACGTCCGAGGATCTCGTGCCCTCTCCCTTCCCCCTTACTGCTGACTTTCAGCTGTGGATGCCGAGGTGGCGAGAGCTTCCCGTTCAGGGCCGTCCGCGAGATCGACGTCGGTTGCGCGAGGGCCATCTGCGCGAGGATCACTTACGTCGGGGAGCTCGGCTTCGAGCTTTTTGTGCCTACCGAGATGGCGTTGCACGTCCACGACAGGCTGCGGAAGAGATCAGGGCAACAGTAGAGTGTGGGATAGGCTCAGAGTTGGGGATGCAGGCGCCCCCAATCGCCCACTCATCGCTGACCGGGACCCTTCTGCGCACCCCGCCCAGGAACGCTCGGGTTCTCGCGCTCGAGAGGGGCCGACCGATGATCTATCGGCGATATATCGCCAATTCGGGCTCGATGTCTCTCCCCCTTCCCCCGATTCCCCCCCCCCCCCCCTGACGTTGCCCCTCAAAAGAGGGACCCGCTTGCCGCGCGCCGATGACCCCCTCTGGAGGCAGCCCAGGGGCTCGCCTGCGGCAGCGCCTCGGGGCGGTCCCTCGGGCGGCTCCTGCGTGCTGAGCGCGGCCTCCCCTCGGGGTGCGAGGCCGGGATTTGTTTGACCTCCACGGCCTCACCATCGAGGCTTTCAAGGCAATCACATTTTGGACCTGTGGGAAATACGGAGAGTTGCTTCCGGCAGCACAAACTGAGCTTCACGCCGAGCCTGAGACAGGGGAAGAGGTGGGCATAGCCTCGACGGAGGCCGCCCACAAGAGAAGCGAGATCGGGTTTTGTTCATCATCGGTCTTCGAGGACCTCGACAGGCGGTGGAGATGGACACATTTGGCCACCCCAGGGCCCGAATATCATCGGCGCTGGTCGGAATGATTCAATCGAACGTCCCCGAGGGGGCAGACACCGCCGCCCCGAGAAGCCACCAGGATGGCCTCATGGAAACCTTTGGGGGCCTTTTAGAGGGAGGGGCTTGGGGCCTTTTAAGGCCTCTTAGGGGCCTTTTGGCAGTCTCGGAGGCTCGAAATCTCAATTGGGGTTCTTCTTGGGGGAATCTTAGGGGCCTCTTGTGCCGTCTTGGGGCCATTTGGGCCCCTCTTCGGGCCCATTTGAGAGCCTCTTGGATTGCCTTGAGGCGACCGTGGGTGCCGCTTGGACCGTCTTGGAGGGTTGGAGAGCCAAAAACCGAAGAGGCGAGAGCATTGACATCTGCCCACAAAACACCGCAGGAACACACTTTGGGTTGGCCCCCTGGGGCGCCCAGACCGAAACTCACTTCTGATCCTCCGAGGCGGGAGTTCATGCATGGCCGCCGCCTGAAGGATCAATTTTCGGGGGCCTCGGCAGGCGGTGGACGTGGACATATTGGGCCCCCAGGGGCCAACGTATATCCATATCCACCGCCCGCTGGGGCACCAGGACGTCGGTTGCCAAGCGGCGGATTGAGATATATCCCCGTCTCCGGCGCGCTGCTAAGTCTGGGGCGCCTTGCATCCGGGAGCTCCCGAAGGGCCGCCCCACGCGGGCGATCGAGCCACCACGCACAAACATTCAGATGCTCTTTAGCACGCCTTCGGCCTGTTGGGCCTGCGAATTCCTCCTCCTCCTCCTCGTCCTTCCTCCTCCCTCGTCCTCCTCCGCGTCCTCCTCCTTCTCCACCACTCCTTCTCCTCCACCTCCTCATCGTCCTCCTCCTCCTCCTCGTCCTCCTCCTCCTCCTCCTCCTCCTCCTCCTCCTCCCACCACCACCCTCCCTCCCTCCCTCCCTGCCTCCCTCCCTCCCTCCCTCCCTCCCTCCCTTCCTCCCAGCTTCCCCCCATCATCCCAATTTCGGCCGATCACATGCATATTGGAACACAAACACAGTCAACGCACCCAGCAAGGACGCGCGCCTTCATCTAGTGTGCCCCTGTGTCCTTGCCATTGCGGTCCGTCCTTTGCCGTTTTCACTGGTCGCCCGTCGCCCAGAAAAGTCTGGCTTCGGCATCTAAGGTTTTTGCGTCCTTGCAACCCGTCCTTCGAGTACACTTTTTGATTGTATACTGCGGTCGGTGTCTTGGGGAACGTCGCCTCTTTCGGCCAGATTGTGGGGCCTACAGGGGCCCCAATCTCTCGCGCTCCCACCGCTCTCGCCGCTGCGAACCACGCCGACCTCGATAATGGATGCCCGCGCCCATTTCCATACAGTCAACCCGCATGGTAAGGATGGGCAACCTTCCCAAAGGTACCCTGGCAGCCTTGCCCCGTCGGCCCATCCTCAGCGACTTTCGTGGCCAACCTCGTTTGAAACACGCGAACATGGCACCCCAAAGGCCCTTGAACAATTATTGGGCATCCTTATGGTACGGGCCGACTGCATCCACCGCCTGCCAAGGTCCCCGATTCCCCCATCTCGCACCAGGAAAGCCTTCTCAACCCGACGCCTTGTGATCTTCTCGCTGTCGGCGCGGGCCCGCGGGGATCGCCACCACTTCTGCGCCCAGACGTGCGACGTCTTGACTTCTTTCAGCGCGCTGCCCCTGGAAGTCCCGACCCTCTCCCCTGAGCCAATTTTACATCCCGAGCCGTTTTTTGTTTCGAAATCCCGATGCAAGACGAGGGCCCTCCGAGGCCGAAAACGACGCAACACATCCCGTCCCGATGTCACGGCGCGAGGCCCAACGGCTTGCCGCCACGAGCTCTTGCGGCGCCTGGGCTCCCCGGGGGGGGGGGGGAGATGCCGAGAGGACCTCGTCGGGAGGGCCGTGTGGGGGGGGGGGGGGGGCGGCCCGTGCGCACTGGCTACACGCAAGGGCCCCGAGGGCAACCCCTGAGATCCTGGCGTTGCACTGTTCTCGACCCTGGCGTGCCTGCCTGCCTGGTGTCTTGCCCGGGTGGCTTGGGCTCGCGTGCGGACTGCCTCGGCCGCGCTGCGACGTAGAATGCTTGCCTGGCGTCGGGCCCCAGGAGCTTGGCAGATCGACCCGGCTCGAACATTTGTTGTCCGAGGCTGTGTTGTCGCGCCGCTGGCTCTCGGGACATCGCCCGCCGCTGCAGGCCGCCAGGGGCTCCGAGAAGGTCACGGACCCCTCCCGGGGGATCCGCATCCCGAGTCGTTTTTGCGACGGTTCCGGGCCCGGGCGCGAATGTGCTTGGGAAGGTCGCCTGCCGTCTGTGGCGCCACTTCTGCGTGAAGCCGTGCGCAAGTACCCAGAGACCCGATGTCTTGACGTTTTCGACGGTGGGTCCCGGGAAGTCCCGACCCGTTCCCCAGGACCAGCTCCTCCTCCTGAGTAGCGCTTTGTCGGTGAGGCGGTCCGAGGGTTGAGGTTGCGCTGCATCTTCGGGGGACCTTGTCTGTCCCCAAAATTGGTGTTTCCTCTCATGCCCGATTCGGGCTCGATGCAGAGTCGACGCGGATTTGCCGTAGATCCGACGCGGTTTCGTCGTTGATTTGGCGCGGATTCGACGAGCCCGACATGGATGTTGACACTGATTCGACGCGGATAGAAGCGCGACGGGGCAGATAAGGTCCCCCGAATGTGCAATACAACCGAGGGGTTCTGGGAGCCGAGGACGGCGAGAGTCCCCCCCATGTGGAGTTCTTCAGCGCGGTGGACCTCCAGGTGGGTACAGTGGAAGCCCATGCCAAGAAACACCCTGCCTGCCTCCAGGGTGCCCTTGGGTTTCTTGGGTATCGATGGTCTTGCTATGGAAAGCGTGACGTCTACACGCCAAACATCAATAGGGGAACCATTAATGACATGAACATAAAAACTTGGAGGGCCGCGCGGATTTCTCTGGCGTTGGGGGTCCCTGGCGGCGCCTCCGGCGCCGCCCCTGGCGCGCTCCGCGCGCCAGGGAGGGGGGTCCAGCGCGGATCCAAGAACTCCGCGCGGACCTCCGAGTTTTTATGTGAATGTAATTTTTTCGTTCCCCTAATCAATGGACGTCCTGGAGTTCCAGGGTTGGGTTTCTTGTGGGAGGTCTCTTGTGGTCGAGGTTTTGCTGCACCTGCGTCCCCCGCCGCCGGCAGGCTGGTCGAGGCGGGCGGTGGCGGCCTCGTGCACGCTGGGCTGAAGGCGCTCGCGGTCCACCCTCTCCTCTGGGGCACCGCCGTCGGCCCCAGGCCCTTCGTGGCCTGGTGGCGTCGTGAACAAGTCGTCGACCCAGAGATCCAGCGTACAGTCAACCCGCATGGTAACAATGGGCAACCTCCCAAGGGTACCCTTGCATCCTTGCCTCCTCGGTGCATGCTTGACCGCTTTCGTTGGCCGCGCCCCGCTCGAAAGATGGTCAAGAGGAAGGTTTTAATAGATAACTAAGAGCAGGGAGTTGATCAAAGAGGAGGAAAAGAGGACATGCTGGGGAAGAGTGGACATGGACGGGAAGGGGGACATCCAGGAGTTATGAACAAATATCGGGCGTCCTGGAATGTGTGTCGATGTATTTGGGCCCCCCTGGGCCCCTTGACTGTGGAGGTCTGGAAATTTGGGCCCTTCCAGCGGCGCTACCCGCCAAGACCCCGCGTGGCGCGAGGCGCTCGGCAGCCTGCGCATGGAGAAGGGCTACCGGGACTACGGCCACGACGTGGACAACACGGACACCGTCCTTGAGGTCGGCGGCGAAGTCCGAATCCCTGAGATCCAGGCGTGTGTCGCTTACTGTCGGCCCCGAAAACCCTCAGATGTCGATCCGCTTCGGGAACTGGATCAGAAACATGGGGTCTGGGGCTCTGGTCTGGTCAGGGTCCCTGCCCTCTCCGCCCAACGATTCAGGCAGCTCGACGGGCGGCGGGTCAGGGTTCGGAATTCGCCGAGCGCGCGGCGAAGTCCGAGCCCTACGCTCGCCTCCCATCGGCTCCGGAGGATCGATGGCTGGCGGGTGTTCGGTGCTGGTGTCGCAACCCGTGAGGCCGGGCTCGGCTTCGCGGTGGACCTCCAGAAGCCGGGGGGGTTCCTAGGCCGGCTGCGGCGCCCCGCCAAAACAGGAGTCAGGGCAGGCAGCAGCAGCAGGACCCCGAGTGTACTCTGGTCGGGGCCGACGAGATCGGTCTCGACCGAGTCTGCTTCAAACTCCGGGACCCGTCGCGGCCGATTTGCCTCAACATCAGTCGCGGCTGATTTCTGCATCCGTAGCGATTGATCGCGACCGATTTGGAATGTCGATCGGTCGCTACGCGCTACGCTCGGAACAACATGTGTTCGTCGGCGGCGAGGCACAGGCAGTCCGCTCCAGCGTGCGGCTATCCGGGGCAACCGAAACGCGAATTGGCCGGCGTGCAAGACAGGGGAAAAAGACGAGGGAGGCCGCGCGGGGGGAGGGGAGGGAACGCTCGCACAAAAGCGGTATCCAATAATGCAGGGATGAGCAGGCTTGGTGGGAGGGCGCCAGCAACCTGCGGGATCCCTGGAAGTCCCGACTCTGCGCCCAGGGCCGTCGTTTCATCCCGGGCCGTTTTTAATGATGCTCTCGGGGCTTGGCGAGGCATCGCGAAAAATCACGACCAGAGCCCCGGACCCTAGCTTTCTGCATCATTTTTGCAGCCACTTGGATGGCCGGCAGAGTTGTTGTAGCTTGGAGTACATATAGTTAACATCATACATACTAATATGTCACATAACATGTAGCTAACAGAGATTTAACTACACACATATATACACTTATTAGCCAACTTAATAAGTCGAATAAGTCTAGGTGTTTGTTCGGATGTTTGTTTTTTTAAGGGCGCCAGTTTTTTTGGTTGGCGTCGTCTGCTGGTTGGACCTGCGGTTTGCCTGCGTTGTGCGTGTTTTCTGGGCGCGCTTGCTTGATGATCGTTGAGCGTTTGTCAGGTTACGCCAAAAAAAAACTCCTCCTCCATATGTTCCTGCTCCTCCTCCTCCTCCTCCTCCTCCTCCTCCTCCTCCTCCTCCTCCCTCTTCGGCGGATTACCGCCTTCTTGATCCTCCTCCTCATCCTTCTTCGGCGGATTACCACCTTCCTCCTCATCATCCCTCTTCGGCGGATTACCGCCTTCTCGATCCTCCTCATCCCTCTTACCGCCTTCTCGATCCTCCTCCTCGTCCCTCTTCGGCGGGTTACCGCCTTCCTCCTCCTCCTCCTCCTCCTCCCTCTTCGGCGGATTACCGCCTTCTTGATCCTCCTCCTCATCCCTCTTCGGCGGATCACCGCCTTCCTTATCTTTGCATGCTGCGGCGGATCAACCGCTTTCTTTCCTCCTACTCCGCATGCTCTCATTCTGCGGATCAGCCGCATTTCCCCTCCCCACCCCTTCCGCGGATCAACCGCGCGCCCCCCCATCCTTCGATCTTGCGGATCAGCCGCGTTCTCGGGCGGCTCTACGCCATCTTCTGTCGGCGGATCACTCGCCTCCTCCCTCTTCCCCCCCCATCCGCAGCCTTTTCCGCCTTTCATCGCAGCCTTGTATCGCAGCCCCTTTTGGCTCGGGCTGCCGCGGGGCGGCGGCGCGTCTCCTGCACGAGAATGGCGCTCCAGCAGGAGCTCCTTCAGCGCGCCGAGGGGGTGGGCCCCTTACTGCGCGCTGCGAGGGGCCATGGCGAAGCCGCGTGGAAGCAGGCGTCGGGTGCACAGGCTGCTCGGCTGGTCGAGCTCGTCGGATTGGTGCGCCCGCAGGGCCAGTTGCTCATTCGTCTCGCGGGTTTGGCGCAGCAAGACGGCTTCGCGCCTGCCGACGCACAGCTGTTGCAGAACGCCTTGGCCACGGCAGCCTCGAGCAGCGGCGGGGCGTGGAAGTCGCAGGACTTCGAGCATTTCCCGTATTTCTTGAGTGGTGAAGTGTGGGCCGTGCTCAGCGACCCCCATGGGGACGTCTTGCACAAGGCTCGGTCTGTTCTGTCGTTTCTCTCGTCGAAGCTGGGCCTCAAGAGCCCGTCAGAAGGCACCCTCGCGCACGTGACGGCCCTCGTGACGATCTGCGTAGATGGGCCCCAGCGGCCCGCAGCATGAGCCCCCACTTCTTGAAAGACACCTTTGACCACATCAAGACGATGTGGAAGGGCATGGTCAAGGCAGAGCCCTTGGAGAAGATGGCCGCGCTCCCAGCTGACCCCGACGCGTTCCGAGCTGCGTTCCCCGCCACGTGGGCCTCTGCGTACGGCGGCGGTGGTCCTGCGAGCATCGGAGTGTCTTTCGTCGATGTCTCCGTGGTGGCTAAATCGTTCAAGTGGCGCGAGAGGCAGCGCGCAGGGTCCGCGTCGTCGGCGCCACTTTTGCAGGCTCTGCAGAATATGATGGGTCAGACGCTGCAGCAGCCTCAGCAAGAGAGGCTCGCGAACGGTGCGGTGTTGACGTTCGCAGGGAAGCAGCCGCGCAGCCTCGCTGGCGTGCAAGCGGCTGCGACGTCGGCCGCAGGGCAGCTCGCGGTAACGGACCTCCCGCAGCAACAGCAGCAGCAGCAGTTGCAGCAGCAGCAGCAAGACAACTACAACCTGCAATTGCAGGTCAAGCAGCTCCAGGAACAGCTGCAACAGCAGCAGCAGCAGCAGCAGCATCAGCCGCCGCAGCCTCAGCCCAGTCAGTTCGCCCTCGAGGACGCCCACTCGGCGGGTGCCTCTGCAGGAGGGGCCCCGCAGGCGAAGAAAGCGAAGAAGGTGGACTCTGTGGAAGCAGCGGCCATGCAGGTACACGCTGCCATGCAGCAGGAGAAGGAGACCAAGGCCAAAGCGAAGGCCAAGGCGAAGCCCGCTGCCAAGACATGCGTGCTGAAGAAACCAGCGTCGGCACCTGTTGGCAAGGCGGCGGTGGTGACCAAAATCAGCGTGGAGAACACGCGCAGCCAGTGCGTCGCGCACTACGGGAGGGGCCCTGGCTCGACCAAGGTGTTCAAATGGGGCCCGAACACAGGCTACACGAAGGAGACGTCCAAGAAGGCCGCCAAGCAGTGGATCGAGAATCGGCTGCGCGTCGGCTGAGGGGGTGACGGCTACGCGTAGCTGTCGGCACGACGCGTGCCATATTCAGTGCAGCCATGCCGACGGATGGCCGTCAGTATGAGCACTTTGCCATGACGTGGGTAGTGCTACGGATGGCATCGGCTTTTGGTTTCTTCGCCTGGCGCGCGTTGCGCTCGTGATGAAGCTCGTTCTTCTGTGAACTCGTTGCACCTCTATGCGCGCCACTGCTTTGAAAGAAAAGGCGTTGAAAAAAGTGCGGGTCAACCGCTTTCAGCGGATCATCCGCTACTTACCACGTTGTGCCAGGTCGGGGCAGGGAGGTCTGAGCAGGAATATGGAGGGATGGCATGACTAGGAAGGGATGAGACCGAGCAGAAGTTTGCCAGTGAAAAGGGAACCGCCGCTCTGGTCCAGAACCGCCCCCGCTCTGAATCGAAGCCACAGGGGCAGAACGGTGGCGGTTCTAGGCCAGAACGGTAGCGGTTCTGGACCAGAACGGGCAAAAATGGAGGTTCATGCGCGTTCGATGCCGTAGCCGTTTGCGCTCGCAGGGGCGCGCGCGGGCGCGCGCGGCGGGCTCGGCGCGCAGGGCGCCATGGCGGCGCCGAAGAGGTCCGCCTTCGAGGACCTCCAGAGCTTCTTCGAAGAGGCCGACGGTGCGTTCGATCAGATGGACGCCGAGAGGTCGCACGTGATCGGCTGCCTCAGGAAGGTGCTCGAGGACTCTGGCCACGTGGAGGCTGCGGACGTCCGCGACACCCCGCTGGAGGAGCCTGCAGCTGCTGCTTCGAGCTCTGCTGCGTCGGCGACTCTTGAGGTGGAGGTCGATCGCCCCGTTCGCCCTCGAGAGCAGGTCGTCGACGTCGACGCTCTGGAGCGCTCGGTCGACAACGTCCTGCGTGAAGGCGACGCGAACTCCGCGGGCGACGCGCCCATGCCCGACGGCGCGGCGGAACGCGTCCAGCAGTTCATGCTGCGGGATCCAGAGTTCGCGCGGATCGCCTTGCTCATGGTGGTGAGTCCGCTCTCCGTGGACTGGAACGACCCCGCCGTCATCAACGTCGAGAAGACGCTGATCTTGGAGTTCCAGTGCCACAAGAAATTCAGGCAGCGGGGTCCCCCTGGCCCATTGCAGGGAGGGCCCACGGAGTGGAGGGGCCAAGCCTGGAGGCAGAACAGCGGTCGGTGGGGCTCCCGCGGCGGCCGCAACGTGCGGCTTGCCGAGTTCCAGGCGAAGTTCGGCAAGGAGCGAGGCACGGAGGCTTTCCTCGAGGACGAGGACCGACGCCGCAGCTTGCGGCAAGACAGCTTCGTGGCGAAGTTCGGCATGGAGCGAGGCACCCAGGCCTTCCAGGAGGACGAGGCCGCTCGCGCGAGCAAGTCCAAGGCGGTCGCGCGCATGATGGCCGCCCCACCGAAGGCCCACCAGCCGAGGATGGTGCTGCCGACGGTCGACCCTCCGACCAGCAAGGCGCGCCCGACGCCCAAGATGGTCGCGCCCGTGCCGATCGCGCGGCCCGCGGCCAAGGGCAAGAGCAAGGAGGCGGTCTCCAGCAAGGGCACTGCTGGCAAGCACGGCAAGGGCTCCGACGAGGACACGGACAAGGGCTCCGACAAGGGCGTTCGCAAGGGCACGGCCGTCAAGAGCAAGGGCGGCCACAAGGGCGCGGACAAGGGCAAGGACGCGCACGTGGTCAAGAACGTCCTCCAGCCCACGTCCAAGCGCCCCGCGCCTCGGACGCCGTCGCCGCATCGCAGGCCTAAGCGGCGGGCGACCAATTCGCAGGACGCCAGCGGGCGCGGGCCGTTGCCCTTCCTGTGACGCGCGCTATTGTTCTTGGAAAAAAATACGCGTACTTCCTCGGCGGCTCATCCGCCATGGCGGTTTATCCGCCTGTGTGTGCACGAGTGTCGCTGCGCGCGCGTCACGCGTGTGCTTCCTCGGCGGTTCACCCGCCATGGCGGTTTACCCGCCTGTGTGTTCGCCACGCACATGCTCTCGCACCGTTTTTTTCTGTATAGGCGTTTTGGCTCGAACGCGAAGCGC